AAACTTATCTTATATATCTGAGATTCTATCTTTGCATTGTTTTATTCTGTTGTGTACACTTTCAATGGTGTGTTTAATCTCGTGGATATCTGTTTGAGTCTGTTTAATGGATTCCATTTCTTTCCTATGTTGGGGGTTTATTGTTTCCATTTCTTTCTTATGTGGGGCCTTCATGGCTTCTATCGTGGTCCTGAGCTCATCTATTTTTTTGTCAGTTTCTGTTCTAGAGTCTCAAATCATGACTTTCATTTTGCTCACCATCTCTATGGTTACCTGGGACATAATTTCTATTTTGAATTTTTCTAGAGCCTGATTGATCTGGTACTTCCTGTGTTATGAGTTCAGGGTGTCCTGGTGGTTCACTATTGGCCTTTTCATCCTCATTTGCCCTACTGTTTGCCATTGGTGAACTGGAAGTCTGTATTTGTGTCTTGCTTAAATGTTTTCTCATTTTTATTTTTGTTGTCCAGCTGTCCTTGGTTTAATCTCTGGGTTATCACCCAAATATTCCTGATATAGTTGCGCCCTAGCTTCTGGGTCTCTAACAACCCACATACATTCTCATTTTCATAACATCAGAGAAAAAAGCTCATCAAATCAACCACAATTATTTATCCCAACTGATACAATCAGCAACACAATATGATCAAGCACAACTTGGAAACTGACCACCTGTGGTAGTCACTAGTCTGTCACCCGTAAACCATTTGAATTAAATTGAAAACAAGAAGCAGTACAAAACATGTCTACAGTAAACAAACTTTTCAGTATAGTATATTTACCACTTAGGATGGGGGCTCAGACAGAGCTAGGATGCAAGTTCACTGATCTCAGTTAGCTGATGGCTGAACCCCATGACACAGACTGACCTGGGGCTGCAAGGCCCAGATTGAGTTCCCCAACCTTCTGAACAGTTGATCCATGCTCTTCTACTACAGGTTTCCCATGCCCTTTCTTTAAAGATGTCCAAAGTTGGGAACTCAGAAAAATACCCTTTATTACCACTTCTACCTCTGCAGAGTGGGTCCAAAGACTGGCACAATCAGGAGGTCTGAGAGTGTGGGAGGGCATGGTGGTGGTAGTTAGGGTAGTTGTGGGGGTTCAGGGGCACCCATGAGGCTACCTTCCTGGCTCTGGAGCTATGGCGGCTTCGGGTGGGAGAGGGCGTGGCTGTCCTTCCCACAGTGGATGGGGCCCAGGCAGCCCTCCTGGTGCTGGAGCATGGCGGCTCCCGGTGGGCTAGAGGAGGTTTAGGTTTCTTGTATCAGGAAACCTCTTTGGTGACAGTGTTTTACTGTATTATAAAAAAAGTATCACTGAACAAACTGAGGAAACAGAAGTTGATTTTGCCCCTAGCACTAAGGGTGGGGAAGCTTTTCCAATAAGAAGCTGTGCCTGCTAATTGGCTTCACCCAGCAGAAAAGTCAACCTTGCCCAAACTTCCTGACAGCAGGTACTTTTACCACTCTGAGCACTAACTCTCCTAGGGAGACTGGGAGAGAGGGGCCCTTTCTTCTTTGATGGCTGTATCTCAAAGGGATGGCTCTCCAGTCTCTGGGAAATTCAGCCCTGGGTTGTGAAACTGGCAAGAGGCTTTTAAAAAGATTTGCATCTCAAAGGAGCAGAGAAAAAAATTGGCAATTAGAAGTTTTCTACAGTAAAAGCTCTCAGTGAAGGAAGTCAGGGGCCAGGGACAGAAAGTTGCTGTCTGAAGCTAAGTCCTGCTGAGGGGCCTGGGAGAGCAGCCTAGAAAGGTGCTTTTGAGGTACCATGGAAGATAGAGAGGATGCAAGGAAAATGTACTTTTTAAGAAAAATTGCAGCTATGGGACACAGAAGTTAGTCAAGCTTTTTTTTCCCTTTCCAAGAAACATTTTGAGGGCCTTAAAGACAATCAGCCTGGTGTGCAGTGCCTTCCACCTGTGCATGGCATCACCATATGCCCCCCCATCCTCAGGAATCCACCATCCAGAGGCAGATCTTTCAACACAGGGAAATTGTGTGCATTTACAAGGCCCCCTAAGTGGGCAAAACCCTATGGACAACAGAATATACATCTCAGATAATCTATTTTAGGGACATGCCCAAAGCCCTATAGATATACCTAGCTGCAGGCCACAAGAAACTCTTACTAGCCACTTTGTTTCATGTGTTCAGGTTCCTTTGCTCACCACTGGTCAAATTAAAGGTGGAAATTTATTTTGGTAAAGAGTAAAATGGATTTATTTAAAGGTAGCTCTGAGGAGATGGAGGGACTCATTTGCCTCAAATCACTACTGCACCTTGTACAGGTGGGCAAAGGTTTCTTCCGGTAAGGAGCAGAGGGGAGGGAGCTCAGAGTGATAGTTCCACACCTGCTTTGTCACCTCCAGCCGTCTTCTGCTCATGGTCCCCTTTCTTGTGGAGATGAAACTGGGCTCCAGGTGAGGTAGGATGGAAGAAATAAAAATTGGATAAAAAGAAGATCAGACATTGAGATTTTAAAATTTGACTTAAATTTCCCTAACACAGCTTTCCTCCCCATCTCTGCCTCGGTCATCTCTTTTTTTCCTCTCTGTCAGGTGTTGTGCTAGTCATTAAACCATGTCCTCTTATTAAAGGAGGTCAAGGCTGGGGAAAATGAACAATTAGGTAGGTTGTGTCAAAGGTCATAAAAATCCAGAGGACATGCACAGAAAAGAGGACCCAAAATGACTCCAGCTGTTGTGCATTGTACCAGGAACCAAACACAAAGCAGTATATTCAATCCCTCATTTGAATCTGGTGCTGTCTACTGGACCAATCAAAAAAGTGCTATTTTCAATCCTTCATTTATTTACACATGACAGGAAGCCAAGTGAGTCTTTCCCTGGGGCAGTTTAAACCTGGCACCAGTCCAAGGACAACTTCCCAGGGCCTTATTTGCAAGAGAGCAAGACAACCCAGGAACTCATATGTCCACTTTCTCTGCCCCTTCTGTGTGTCTTCCCAGTTCTTTGTTCAGGACACCAAGAACCTGGGAAGAGTACCATGGGACTCTCCATCTTGTAATACTCTCAGCCCTGAATCCTCTTTTCTATGCTCAGCTTGGTGCCTCTGGGCCTGGGATTCTTTAAGCCATTGCCCTGCTGTGTCCTAGGGGAAGGCAGAGCAAAGCTGCAGGTTTGCTGGGAAGAGGGTTGCCACTTAGCTTAGGTCCTTGTGTTAGTAGAAATGGAAATTAAAACTAAAGCACAAATTAACCACAAATAGGTTTTAATTGGAAAATTAGAGGCATAATAGAAAAGGACTCCAGTTTAGGTGGCTGGAGGGGGTGCTTTTGATATAGGGAGAATCGATGCAACTCCCAAACATGCTAGATATCCTAAACATGAGATTATGTCCTCTAAAATTGAAGAATTAATTCTAGGAACAACAAAGGTTAAGAGTAGGAAAAGTTTATTGAGAGAAAGATGGATTCTGTCTAAGAGAGACAGAAGGGTGACAGAAAATGGGTTGCCTTCTCACTTTGCTTTTCAAAGTTGTTTTATATGGCAAAGCCTTGAGGTGAGGTAGATACAAAGTGGGAAAAAAAAAAACTGTAAGACCCAGTGAAAAATTACAAAGTGGGCATGTGGTAGAACAAAACCATGACCAACCAATAAGATTACAGGTACAGTCACTCAGGTAATATTCATTAAATGGGGATCAAATGGAAAAATGAGTCATGTATAAGGAATTTCCCCATTTAGAATATCAATCACTGCTATTCAGCTCTAGGGAAAGTAGTACCTCTTTTCTTTATAATGCTAACCAGTGAATGTGCCAGTTGTCCTCCATGTTGGCTCCTCCACTGTCCTCAGTTTGCTCCTTGAGGGCTGGCCCTGTCTAACAGCTTACAAGATATCTAATTAATTTACCTATATACAATACTCTCTGATACAGGCATTCAGACTGCCCACACATAAAGGCAGAAGGCCAGATTTCAAAGACCAGGTGGTGGCTGTGCCCTATTGATCTCAGTCCTGGTGTCACAGTTCTGGTTGTTTCAGTCTGTGTGGTTCTGCCTTTCCTGGAATCCAGGGGATCAAAGGTTTGGGACAATGGCTGGAGGCTTCAGGGTGTCTCTGAGAGTCCCTGAATGCCTCTCATCTTGGTGTCCTCAGTCCTAAGGGGATGAAATCCTATAAATTCGGGGCTTATCAACACTGTCTGGCAACTCCTACACAGGCACTCCCTGAGTGCTCAACATAGCCCAATGCTGAGTAGAAGAGATTAGACCCAAGATTTATAGCGATGGAGGACAAACAATGAAGGGCAAGCCTTGTTCTGTTTTTAGTTACTTCTGGGAAATCTGTAGGCTCAAGTGCAGAGTCATGGTTTATAGCAAAAATTTTTGCTGGCTGTTCCAGAGGAAAACACAAATCAGCTTTTAATGAGCAGCAGGTAAGAGTTCTTATATCATGACTGTATCAGGTTACAGCTTTCCAGTCTTCCTGGATCTCTCCAGCCCGCCATTCCCTAGGACACTGTGTGACCCTGGCAGTCCCAGGCACTGGCTTATCCCTCTCCCAACTCAACAGAAGCAAGAAGTACCACTGTTGGGACATACCTGCCATCTCAAACACTGGTCTATTATTGAGAGAAAGACAGATTCTGGCTAAAAGAGACAGAAGGGACAGATGGGTTGCCCTCCCATCCTTTTTTTCAAATATGTTTTATATGGCAAGCTTTAAGTCAGCTCTGGATCTCAACATAAAGACTGACATAGTTCCTCTGAGTCTGCTCAAGATTCTGACTCTGTCACAGTTTGTGTGATCACAGGGTCAATTTGTCCACCAGGGGAGAGAGGACATCTTCTTCCGGTACTGGGATACCCAGAGCCTTGCTCTGTAGGACTTGTTGGTTAGAAATTGTGTGTGTGTGTTTTGATGCTTCTAACAGCAGCCAAATATTTAATTTGTTAAACTAAATTAATTATATACCATTGTATATCAACAAAATTAAGCTTGCGAGGGTTAACGACCTTCTCCATTCATCCAGGCTCAACAAGTCCTCACCTCAGAGACACAAAGCCTGAAAGGAAGCAAGCCTGCCCTTGAGGCTGCTCGGCAGGATATTCAGTGACTGAATTCATTCTTTACAGACCGTCCGTGGGTGAGTTTCGACATCTCTGTCTCTGTTTATCCACCCTTGGAAACTCTTCTGATTTAGTTGGTAGACAACTTAACTCTTTTCTCTAGATTCTTGGAAATCTAAGTGTGAATTAAGATTCAAAAAATTGATTTCGGTGAGATATAACCTCTTTTCTGTCAAATCAAAATGTGTCAGCTCAAAAATGTTTCTGTGATTCTCTTTTGTTTCTTGTCTATCAAATTGAACTCCCTACTACTTTATTGCAAAATGTTTTGATCTCTTTAGTGAATGGTTCCATGCAACTCTCTAGAATTGTTTTTTTTAAATGAGAGATCCACTAATAGGTTTCTGACATTTGAAAAGAGAGTTATGAGTTTGAGAAGGAAGGAAGGAAGTTAAAAATGAAAAATACTGTTTTGTAGCTCAAGAACAGAACAGTTGTTGGTGATTTTTCCCTTGAGGAACATTTGGAAAATGCTACCAACCAGGAGGCGTGTATATCAACTTTTAGACTAAGATGGATGTTAAAGACAAATCAGTGGCTTTGCAAATGATCAAAGCCATTTTGGTGAAATGAAAATCTTGTATGTGAGAGCCGAAGATACTGAAGACTGGATTAGAACTGCGGAGTGGTGTGCTGTGTGAAGTGGTAACCCATCCTGGTAGAAAGAGTGATCATGGTGGGGCCTATAACTAGACCCAAGCCTTGCTTCCACCAGTAGAAGCTGTAAGACCCCAAGAAGGTGGTTTAGCTTCTTGAGCCAGATGCTCTTATCTATTTAAAGAGGCTGATGTTGTGAGGATGTGTGATCATTAATACAAAGCACCTGGTAGGGAGTCTGATTCTAGTGGTACTCTGTAAGTGGAGTTAGGTGGAATTAAAATATCACTATTAAGACATAGCTAGGAGGCTGCAAAATAAATATAGAAAGTAATCTAAAATTTATACTGCAATAAATTTAGAAAGAAGTTTGGAGAATAATCACATTAGGAGACCTAAGGGGGAGAAAAATCACTGCTCTGAATTTTAACATATGGATACCAACTAAAAGTTATGGATTTCTTACTATTTAACAAAATGTATAGTTTTAGACAAGGCAGTGAAACAGCCTGTCAAATTTCAATATATGAAACAATTTTGAGTCTTTATGGAAAGCATTTTGAATCAAAATTAATAGCAATGATGTAGAGAGTACAAAAAATTACGTACTAGACTTAGAATGGGTTCCCATGGTAAGAAGTTGAATGTCAGCCTTATGATGAAGGTACAGCACAGGACTACATAATGGAATCCCGGTCCACAAATGTATTAGTTTCTATTTGCCTACTTCCCCAAGTGTCATGAGATCTGAATTAGGGCAGTGATTTAATTGTCTCACTGTACACAGTGCTAGTCTTCTCTTAAAGAGTATAAACTGTAATGCTGAACAACCAATGCATTTAAGCTCTTTGGTTGATCTAATTATTTTGAACTTACTCCTAAACCTTTTGGAAGGTCTGATGTTTAATCCAAGTGATGATCTCTGTGGTGTCCCAGGGAGACAGACGAGTTCAGGTGTCAGTGAAAGAGATGGACAAGCAAAGGGGACACTGAAATATCTGCAGACAAAAAGTTATTGTTACAGTTAAAGCATTTGGACAGGTATAACATCACTTAATTCTCATGCCTGCCCATCTTGCAGATAGGGCTCTGTGGAGAAGTGTATACAAAAGTTCTATGGTTGAGTTTCTGTTACCTTGCTTCACATCAACACACGGCCGATTGTTCTGTAGTGAATCTCATCTTAGCATCCTTTTTTGCTTTATTTTCCTCCTTCTTCTCTTGATGCCAAAACTCCTAGAAGGGCGACACCAGGAGCTGCAAGTTATTGTAGTTCTGAGATATATTTGCATTTTTAGTCAGAAATTCTTGAAGAAAAAAAATTCTGCAGTATTTTTCATTCAAGACAGTAAATTCATAGGTTTATTCCCCTTCCTCACACAAATTACATTAAATTTATTATAAAGAAATACGATGAGAATTTCTCCATCACTGATCAGCGATTTGGAGAAATTTCTGAAAGATGGAGTGTTCATCGACAGAGTCATAGGAAGTTACCAAAGGGGTGATGAGGAACCTAACCTGCCCTATGCATAGGATGAAGTTGGAGGCTCACTGACTCCTGTCATGGACAAAGAATTTCCAGGAGGCATCAGTAAGAGGCATAAATGAATTTATTAACCAGGACTCCTTTCCCTTCCACCTCCTACCTCCTTCCTTTTTTTTTTCTTTTAAGTTATTATAGGATTCCAGACTAAATTTATATCATACATTGGGAAAATGAGGAGCAAAAAGAAACATTTATAGCAATGCCTCTTTAACTGTGTTGAGTTGTATTTAGGACCAAGATGTCTCACAGCATATTGCTGGACATCCTACCAGAGAACAGTTGACACACTGGACTGCAGACGAGCTGGTAGGTGACATCTGCTTGCCCAGCAGTGGTGACAGTTCCAGCTTTCTATCTAATCAAATTAGTTCCTCTCTGCATTCAAACAAATCAGAAGCAATCATTTCCCAATCTATTCTTGATAAACAAAAGCAAGCATTGTCATGGCATGACACTAATAAGACAAGATGTGAAAGCCGCTAATATAATACAGACATACCATTTGGATATAATAAGTCATTTAGAAAAATTGTAGATATAGATTTTCTGTCTTATACTAAATCCATTTTATTTTTCACAAGGGAAAGACTAAGCAGCTGTTGAGAGAATCCAGGCACTTGCTTTCCATATACTCTGCTTCTCTACCGCTGTTTTTTTCCAGTGGAGGTGGTGAGGATGCCTGGTGTTGGAGGGCCATTGTCGGACCTGTTAATTTCCTGTAAGTTTCAGAGTGTTTGCTACTAGCTCTTCAGAGCTTGTTTAGCAAAGTTCACTTGTGTAGCTACTTGCTGTCCATCAGATGAGAGGTGAGAATCAGTAAAGATAAATGGAGACTTTTGAGAAATTTCTTTTAATATTAAAATAGTCCAGAAGTATTATGGCTTTGAAAGCCAGAAGCACATCAAGTTGGAAGCTATTGTTCAATCTTTGAATGAATTCAGCTAGGTGGAACTAGTCTTATTTATTAATACATTTCTTTTCCCTCAAGGTGGTACAACAAAAGTTAGATTGAAATTTGAAAATGTAGCAGAGCATTTTTAAAATAAGAAAACCAAATAAGAAAAAGAAGAAATGCTGAAGGAAATAAGATCAGTGACAGGGTCCCCTCCAATCCTTGCACTTATTCAACAAACCTTTATCAAGATGGTTTTATTACAAGCAAGATGTAAGCAAATAAATTAATGGCCAAGATGGTGAACAGTGCTTTAGAAAAAAAGGTAATGAAAAAGAGTGTTTCCGTTTTCACTGAAGTAGTAAACATTAGCCAAATCTTATTGGTAGATTGTCTTGCTCTATTACTTCACTTGTTTCTTCTGACAAGGGACTGTCTCGTGTCGGAGTAGACAGAGTGTAATTCCTTTGCCCTGTAAATGCAGGTTTGACTATGTGACTTTCATAGCCAACAGAACTGCAATGAACTTGATATGAGGTTGAGTGGTTCCACTTGGCTTCTTGTGTTCCTGTGCTTCATCACTAAAAACACATGTTCTGTATAGCTCTGGTCCAAAGACAATGTGCAGGCAAGTGGAATAGAATGGCACTCAATAAATAGCTGGAGCCAAGCTCAGCCAAGTCAAAGCCTAAGTCTTGTGAGCAAGATGAAATATAAAAGCAAGCTGTAGTTCCCTGAGTTTTACCATGGTTTGTTACACAGCATTAGCGTGACAATAGCTGACTAATATAACCTTCAGAATTAAAGCTAATCATATGGTCGGTATGACAAAAAAAATCAAGTTTTGAAACAAGCTTATCAGTGATGTATTTTTGGCTTTTACTAAAAAAGTAGTAATTTAAGTATAGCAGTCCTCTGTATCTGTGAGCTCTGTACTGATAGATTCAACCAGCCATGGATCAAAAATATTCGGGAAAAAATTGCATTTGTACTCAGCCAAAGACTTTTTTCTTGTCATTATTCCCTAACAACCATTTCTTAGCATTTATAATGTATTAAGTACTAGGAGTGATCGAGAGGTAACTTAATGTCTACAGGATGATGTGTGTAGATTGTATACAAATACTATGCCATTTTGTATACTTGACTTGAGCATCTGCAGAGTCTGCTGTCTGTGGGAGTCCTGGAGCCAGTCCCCATTGCTTACTCAGGGACCACTGCAGTTCCTTGGCTGTCACGAGTTATTACCTCTCTCTTTTCTTGCTCCACTTGCTGTGGTAATACTTCTCATCCTTGCCAGGGCCAAATCAGCATCTTTGCCACCAACACTCCCTGGAGGTGCGACTGCTATCATTCAAAGGAGCCTGGCAATACCAGAAGCCCAGGGTCTTATGTCCTCATGGAGGATACTTTCTCTGTCATTGCCAAAGCTGCCGGCACCAGTTCTCCAGATGTCCTTTGGGTTAAGCCCTTCCAAATCTCCCTCAAATATTCATGGCTGCAATCTCATCCTGAAATTCCTCGTGTTGATCACAGATAAGACAAATTGTCGAAGAGATAGAGAACCACCACTGAGTTCTTCCCCAATCTCTGGAATGCCATACTCTGGGGGCTCAACTTACGAAGGCTGCATCACCAGTTTTCTACCATGCCCAGGGTCCCCAGGATGCAGCCCTAAGTGAAATCTTGGCTTTTATGGGACTTTTGCACATCTTGCTTTTTTCAGGAATGGAGCATTAAACTAGAACAGGCTGACGGGTGATCTGGGATGACCGACATCAAAGCCATAAAGAAGAGCCATGGTAAAGTGCTGGTCAGAATCATCTGAGCCAGTTCCTTGGCAGGAAATCCCTGTTTTGAATCCCAGGGACATATGCAGCCTTGTGTGGGTCTGGACGGAGCTGAACATGAATAGAGAGTCTGAGGCCAACTCAACCTCAAATCATTGAAGGAAGCAGGGCCACAGATCACAGAGGAAGGTGATGTCCAGAACAGCACTAGGAGCTGAGGCCATAAAATGAATGCAAGGAGAATGACATAGGCAGAGGCTTTTAGGGCTTTGTTTTATGTTTCTAATACATAGTTTAATGAGATGGTTTCTAAGGGTGCTTGGACCTCTAACTCTGCATGACTCTATCTAGATGTTTAGAGGAAACTCTCAGCTTTCCTCCTAATGTAGCTGCCACAGGCCTGCTTTTTAACAGGCTTGCTTTATATCTTGCATATCCAGAGGAGATGGAAATAAATCATGCTGAGTTCCTTCTCCTCCATCAGTTAAGGAAGAAAGAAACTGACATAAAATCAGGAAGCAGAGTTTGGAAAATGTTCTTACTTCCTAGGAATGGAAATATGATTGCTTGAAATTAATAATTAGCAGGGACTGTTCTTGTAGCTGTGATAACACACACCAGGAGGGGACAGAAAGTACTTGGAGATGCCTGGGTATCGGTGATTATCATGAGTCTTGGACTCTGGGATTTTGCACATTTGGGTTATATTAATAAACACTACTGAATCTTATTCATTCTGCTAAATTCCAACTTTTGTTTCATCCACAGAGCTCATCCTCCCAGCTTTTTTCTAAGGGAAAGCTGATTATAAAAAATTTATTCTTCATTGTCTGGCATAATTCTCTTTGTTAAAGATTACAGTGAAACCTCATCACTTATACTTAGGCCTTGAAATCCCCTTTGTAAGCAAGTACAGGCACCCACCCCCTGTACTGTGTGTCCTGTGTCTGTGGATTCAACCAACTGCCTGTCAGAAATACTAAAAAAATGGGATCTGTACTAAAAATGTGTGGATTTTTTGTCATTTTCTTAACAATAGAATGTAATGATTATCTGCATAGCATTTAGATTGTATTAGGTATGACAAATAATTAGAGATGATTTTAAGTACTGGAAGGGTGCATGTAGGTTATATGAAAACACTTCCTTGTTCTATGGAAGGGACTTGAGCATTGGTAGGCTCTGTGTCTTGGGACCTAGAATCAATCCCAGGTGACCCTCAGAGATGTCCGTGGTTTGCTTTTTCTTCTACTCTTAATTTGTGATCTGCTGGTAAAGAGCTAGACTGTGGTTTTTCCTTATTCCTTCTCAAGAAGAGGGGTTATAAAATCTAGTTAATACCTAAATGAAGACCACAGGTGGAATGCCCATCTACCAAATAGAGGAAGTTAAGAGGTGCATGTTAGCTGGGCATAATGGTGCATGCCTGTAATCCCAGCACTTGGGAGGCTGAGGCAGGAGGATTGCTGTGAGCTTGAGACCAGCCTGAGCTACATAGTGAGTTCCAGGTCAGTGTCAACTACATAGTGAGACCCTGTCTCAAAAAACCAAAAAAAAAAAAGAGGTGCATGTTAAATCCCTTAAGCCCTGGGGCATACCAAACAATGTACACACATTATAAACCCAAATGTCTTCCCCCAAAAGGGTGTGAAAAGCTCTAGTTGTAACTCTTCTGGGTGTTGGGTTATTTTATTCTATATGCTAAAAAGCAATAGAACATCTTTTAAATAAGAATTCATGATTTTCTTTTTCACTTAGAGCCAGGCTTGATGCACATGTCTGTAATTCCAGCACTCTGGAGGCTGAGGCAGGAGGATAGCTGTGAGTTCGAGACCAGTCTGGGCTACATAGTGAGTTCCAGGCCAGTCTTAACTACATAGTGAGACCCTCTCTCTCCTTTTGGGAAATACAATGATGTAGAATAAGGTTTGTCCCTGAAATTAAAATACGTTTGAGGAAACATAAAGTTTGGTTTCTTCAAACTTCTTAATTACATATGAAAACAGGGCTATCAGTATGAGATAGTATAGAGAAAATGTGCCCTTGTTTTCCACCATCCTTAGATGGGTCAAATCTTAAAACAACAACAGATTTTCTCCATTTTAAACAATGATAAGAAAATTCAAATTATTCAATCCATTTGCCTTCCTCCAGCCTGTACCACTGCAAATCTGAAATCTGAATGACTCGCAGGGACCAGCCCTCCTGGGTCCTTCCAAAGGCTCTACCCACCTTGCCATCCCTGAGGTTCATCTTCCGTGGTCCCTGGAAGCTCCTGTCTAGCTGCACCAGGGCTGCCCCTCTGGCCTTGGACCTCTATCAATACCTTTGCTACTGATGTCTGTCCTAGCTGCCTGGAATCTTGCTGTCTGCTTTTCAACCAAAGGATGAGAAGCTCCTGGGAGGAATGTGTCTACACCTTTGCAAGTAGTCCTTGCAAATAAACTCTCCTAAATTTTCAAATTCAGTGTTTTGTTTTTTTAAAAATTAATTTTGTTGGTACATTTTAGGTATATAATATAATGATATTCATTCATCATTGGAAATTTGCACCTTTGCATAATCTATCTTGGTTCTTATTTTTCCCACATTCCCCTGCCCTCCCTATTTACAAAGACTTTGCTCCCATTTTTTCATTTTTCTCAGTATTCTGGTTTTGACAGGGACCTTGGTGAGTACAAAGAACCTTGTTAAATTCTTTAACTTAATGAAGCAACACAGTGACCAAATTCTAGGCACTATGAGAGTCATGGTGGAATAACATTTTTTTGTGACATCTCCTCTGTTTCATCCTTAATAATCATTTGACTTATTCGCTTCTTACTGCAAACTTTGAACCATGGAAACCCAGTGCACTTCATAAATAAAAAATGATTTGTTTTCAGCAAATGGAACAGATTTTAAAAGGAATTGCTCATGGTAATTTAGTGAATTGTCAGGTTTCTATTTCATAAATAACAAAATAGAAATTAGGAGCGTGTCAGAACACATTAGCACTCACACATAAAAGTGATTTTATTAGCACTGGTAAATTATGCTTTCTTAATCCACAGTGTCATGCGTGACATTCTGCTATATATCCTGTGGGTTTTTCACTCTCTGCTCATGTTACAGTTCAGCAAGACAAACACACCGGGCAAGTGATATAATGGGAATGCAATTATGAGCGAATAAATCTTGTTTTTTTGTGTGTGTGCATTTCATACAGTGGTACTTGGTTCTGCTTTCCTTGACTTATCAGACAGAACTTGGCTGAAAATGGTAGAATAAAATTCATTCTCCCTCTCCCTATCTCCCTCCCCACTCTCCAAAATATAAAGAAGAATTGAAAGATGAAGAGTCTGTCAGGGACCTTCCAAGGCCAGAATGCTTAAGTTGGCCTTGGTCCCTGATCTGGCTCTCTGTGCTACAGTGGTGACCATGAACATTTATCTGCTCATCACAGAGGCCAAGTCTCAAGACAGTCAGATTTCCAGGCCCCTGACCAGCCCATCTTCTGGGTCTTGTTCCTTCTTCCTCAAGCTTGTGATTTTCAGCCCCAGCTATTGTGCCAAGTCTCAGAACTCTTTCTCTTTCCCTCCCCTCTCCCTCCTCTTTCCTTCCTGCCTGCCTTCCTTCCTTCTTTCCTTCCTTCCTTCCTTCCTCCCTCCCTCCCTCCCTCCCTCCCTTCTTTCCTTCATGTGCTAGGGTTTGAACCCAGGGCCTCATGCTTGCTAGGCACGTGCTTTACCACTAAGCCACACCTCAGGTATTTTTTCCTGTTGCTTTAATGCACGTGTCCACCAGGTGACAACACAATAAAAACAACACACATAAAATAGTCACTCTGCAAGCAATAAGTTAATTCTACTCTAGAACATGGTGTCTTACCCCAGTGGGAATGACCACCCATAAGCACAGTGCTGAGGAGAGCCCAGGAGACCCTCAGATGCCACTGTGTGTGGGGCCCCTGGACCGGGAGTGCTCCCCTGTGGGAAATGTCCCAGATCACACCCTGAAAGCTCTCTGGTCCCACGCTCCCTCCCCACCTCCACACCTGGCTGTACCTTTCCTTTGGGATCACACATGGAAAGCACATTTTGCATTTGATTCCCAGATAGCAAGGGGGATCTTTCTCATTGACAGTTGGGGGAAATGAAGCCAGAAAGTATGACTGCTCAAGATAAGTGGTGACAGAGCCTAATTTGGAACCCCAGTGTTCTAACACTCAGCACAGACCCTTCTTGCCACCCTGCTGCTGGTGGGAGATAGGACCACATAGAGCTAGACTTGCAGATTTCCCCAGGTATCTGGACATCAAGTTCTTAGCTTCAAAAGAGAAGGGGCCTAGCCAGGTAAACAGATAAATTATTATCATATTGCAGTTTTGCTCACTGAAAGAGATAATAATGACTTTTTTGGGGGGAAGCCAATTTTTAGTATTTAATTAAAATGTTACAAGACTTTTCCCATGTTTATTTAATGATTTTCATTTTGCAAGTGAAGAAATTGTGGTTTAAAGCACCCAGTGACTGCCTAGGTTGACCTTGCTGGTTTCTGACCCAACTTTGTATTTCAGATTCCATGTGTTGTCTCTCTTGCTTGGCTGATGAAGGGGAAATTGAATCCAAATACAACTCTTGAGTCCATGTACGTGATATATAATTACTCTATCTTTTAGAAATTCAAAATCTTTTATAGCAAAAGATTAACTCAACCCATTTTGGGATGTTGATATCATGATTCATTTCCATATTTAAGAACAGCTGGTTATTTATAAATGTGGCAGATAAGCTGAGAACTATCTACTAGGTGATAGTGAGGAACCTGTCTACCTGAGAAGGATGCAGGTGCTGAGAGCCACTGGATAAGGAAACCTAGCAAAGCATCTGGAAGATCTTATCTGGGCACATATACTTAGGAATTTCAAGAAATATTTCCCCTCACACTCTCAGTAACTTCATTCAGCAAACTTAATTTAAACTTTCATAGGGCAGCCTTGAGGATGAAGTCATAAAGATGAGCAGAGTTATTAGGAAATGTTGCAGAGCCCTCTGGCTACTCTGTAGAGGCACACAGTGCTCAGGGGGCCTGATCCCCAGTGAGAAGGGGACAGATCACAAGTCCAAACATACTCAGGCCATCTTTGCTCCAGAACCTTGTCAAGATACCTTGGGTCCTTAGTTTTATGTTTACTGCTAAATCATTTTCTCAAAGAGTAATGAGACAGAATTTGGTGTGGGAATGCCAGAACATTGTCGGTACTCTGAGAATTTGTTCCTGGCATGCTACCAACCTGACACACTTTTGATCAGGCTACTTGGCTTGGGGACAGGGCCATGGTACTGTTAGGAATCCAGACCATGGAAGTAGAGCACATAGCATGAATCCTGGATTGGCTTCACTATGTTGTTTAATCAACTTGTGCCTCAGTTTCCCAATCTTTACACACTAACAATAACCAATAGTCCATAGGTAGCTCATAGTGTTACTATGAGACTCAGAGCAGTTGGAGACCAAATAGTAAGCCCTGGCCTTGTACTTGAATGTGCTAGGTACAACATGAATGCTTTAGATAGTGTAATTATTATTGTTAACCCCTCATAACCTTGCTCTCCTTACTCATAGGATGGATAGGCAATACTAATGCTGACTTACTTTCTGTTATGGGATGAGCATGAAAAAGAAACCAAGATAATCATTTAAAGAAGACTAATATCCTTTAAAAACAATAAAGACATATTTGCTGTGATAATTATGATTAACATCACAATCCTCTCTCTTTCCTCTGATTCACAGCATTTGTGAGGCCCACAGGGACTGTGGGGGTGGTGCACTTGGTGGGGTACCATGAATATTCTTCTCCAGTGCTGGTCACCTCCCTCCATCTTCGATTTCCATTAAGAATCTACACCCAGCGAGCCTCTATTGTTGAGTGGATTCAGTTGGATAAAAAGGTTGAGAGCCACTGGTGCAAATAGAAAAGCAAAGATTAGCCAATTAACATGGAAGAAATTCTGTTTAAACTTCATTCATGTATTGAAAATTGGTACTGACATTTATCCTCCACTAATATGCTGTGCATTATCTGTCCATAATAACTGGAGAGTGCAGACTCCGCACCTGGTGTGAAATGAGTTCCCGGCCATCGCCTGGCAGCTTATTGTCGGTGAATTCTGTGTGGTGTCTACTGACGGTTGGGACAAAGCAGAACAAATAAGTCTATTAATATGCAGCCAAATACCAATAAAGTCCTTGTTCAATGTGATTTATTTATCATATTGATCTTCCTTTGCTAAGCCAAGAGCAAATTAAATGAGCATTGGCTTGTATTGCCTGGAAAATGCAATCCAGATAAAAATCAAATTGTTATCTTCTGTGTACTTGGAAGATTAATTGGAAACTCTATTCTTCTTGTGTTCAATGTCATGTGCTAAACTGTTGTTTGGAGGAAATCATGGCCTTTGGATAGTAGAGCAGCATTTATCAGAAAGCATCTCTGTATTCACGAAATAGCTAATTAACAATTTTGCTTGTGTCTTTTTCTTCCTCTGAAAATAATGTCAACAAGTTGACACTGAACCCCAATACCTACTTATGGCCTGTTTTACCATCCAGGATTTTATAGTGGACACTTCTCAGAATAAAAATGCTTCTGCATCCTGCAGGAATTGATGTGGGGACCGCAGAAACCAGAAGACCCAGGGGTGCAAAACTCTTCAGAGATTTACAGAGCCATACATCTGGGCTGAAAAATTTCTTTAGAATTGTTTTTTCCTCATCGAGTTTATTGGTACATTTTAGGTATACAGTAGAGTTACATTCATCGTTGGGCTCTTGCACCTTTACATGACAGGTCTTAGTTCTCATTTTTCCCCCTTGTCCCTGCCCTCCCTTCACTCCCTCCCCACTTCCCCATTTACAAAAACTTTATTTCCATTTTTTCATTTTCTCATATTTTTTCTTTTCCCTTATTCCTTTTCCCCTACCCTTCCCACTTTCCCTACACCTTTATCCCTTTTCTTCCTATTTCACATTGTTAATTATCTCATTAGGATCTTGTGTACTATTATAGTTTTTCACATCAGAGAAACTATCTGGTATTTATTTATACATGTGTGACTTATTTATTTCACTTAGGAGTATAGCATCAATATGTATCCATTTTCCTATGAATGACTCTAATTTCTCATTCTTTATTTAATTTTATAGAAAAACCACATCTTCTTTATCCAGTTTCCAACGGATGGGCAAATGGGCTGTTTCCAAATTTTAGCTATTACAAACTGTGCCGCTATAAACATAGGTGTGCATATACCACTGTGATATGATTCTTTTAATTCTTTTGGAAAGATACCCAGCAGAGGGATGGCTAGGTCAAATGGAACCTCTAGTCCCAGTTCTTTGAGGTATCTCCATATTGATTTCCATAGTG